ATCCTCAAATTGTAGTCCTTTTTCATTTTGCGGTGGTCGTCAACATAAGGGGGAATCTTATCCGAGGCTTTCGCTTTGGTCTTCACTGGGCTCCACACATTAGCTTACTATCTAGCGGATGCTAAGATAGCTACCCAGGAGGCACCACGAGGAAGCTGTGTGTCAACTTGCAATCATTCGAAAACAGAGATAGCTCTGGCGGCCACCAAGTTGACCGCGATCAGAACACTTTACTCTGTACGAATGAAGCCCATCCCATTATATGTAATATCCCTGAACATTAAAACACTTGCTCAATGACACTCCAATCTGTGGATCCCATCCCTCAAGTGAAAATCCGGATGGTCTTCAAAATACGCTTCAACAGTTATGACCTCTTCATTTGACGAAAAACGCTTGCCACGCATACATTTTTTTGAGTTCCGGATAAAAAGGGAATTAATGGGGGCCAAATCTAGTGAATACGGTGAATGCTGCAACAATTTGAACTTTTATTATGGATTTTAGTAATTGTCAAAATGCTTTTTTGACACGATGCATTCTCCTGTCCTGATGATTTTTTGTTTCTGCAAACCTGGTATTTTTTCACGAATTTTTGTTGCAATAATAGGTTCACACCACTCTTTAGCCTTTCTCATGAATCGTCTCATGAAGTCTCATGAATCGACGCATAAAATCCACATTATCCTTTCTAAATCGCTCCGAAAAATCGCATTCTTACTTAAATTATGGCTCATACTGCCTTATTGGATATTATTAGTCTCTACTAAATCCCTCTCAGTTAATCGACGATTTTCCAAAACCATATCCTGTATTTTGGCTATGATTTCTGATCGACATCAAGACTTGTACAACCACGTTTAAATTCAGCAAGCCACTGTTCTACGGTTCTAATTTTAGGCGAACAATCAATTTACACCTTTAACATTAGTTTGTTCATTTTTATTGGCGCTAAAAAAAACAAAAAACAAGAATTTCACTGCACGATATTCAATTTTTTCCATCGTAAAAATGGCTTGTAAGCAAAGCATGAATTAACAGATTGAAATGAAACTTAATATATATATACCTATTATTTAGGAAGTTCTACGAAAACACACTGTAGTTATTGTTGTTGTTGTTATTCTTTTTTTTCATAATAAAAATTACGTCTATTAAAGTACTCATCCACTCTTCTCAACACATCAACCGGAATATTGACAATAGCATATCGACTGTTGTTCAGGTGATTTATATTCCGTGGTTGATCGACAAGGGATTTCAAATAACCAAAAAAAAAAAAACAAAATCATCGAGTCAAATCTGTAGCAAATGCATGCTTGCGAGCCGAACGCCGAGGAGAACGCTTAATTGACTACCTCACTCTTTCCACAGCTTCTGCTGGTGCTGGTCTATTCAAGTCCAGTTCTGAGTTTTAGCGACACTTCTACACTTCAGAAATAAGTTGACTGAATGAATGAAATTACGTCCAGCACCGAGTCTGGGAGAAAAAATTTCGAAGCGAGCGCGAAAGGGACGTTGCAAAGCAACAATTGAGCGACCTTCCCGACGGCGAAGGCCCGCTGCTCTAAAGACCACAGCATAATGTAAACTGACGAGAATGGAACAAACTTGAGGACGTCCCCCTTCAGATGCGCCCCTCCCGCTCCTCTACCTTCTTAACTCAAAGGTCCTCATTTTTCACAAATAAATAAGTTTCTCTGGTACGTCCGGTACATAGCCGGCCCAAGGACACTCGGAATATAAGTCACTGATTAAAAATTGTGACTTCAGTTCAATTTTGACCTCAACAAAGGTATAAAAAGTTAGTAGCTGTTGCACCTTCCTGCCTGAGTAATTGATATATAACTGGTTAACCCTGACAATTTGAATATCTGCGAATATAGCGAGCCCGCTCGACCAACGCTGAAACCGCAACCTTACCTCAAACAATGAGAGAAAAAAATGTTTCGTCGACGCATAGGAATTACGGAAATTTACTGATTCAAATGTTTCATTAAAATCGAGAAACTTATTTGCTACAAGAACTTAATGCGGGTAAGAAACAAGATAAGTACAAATCCTTAAGAAGGCAATTATGTCCAAGTTTGCTGAATCGGAAATGGTGATTACCTTTCAAGTAAGTTGATGCTGTATTTTTAACTGACAATCAACTTCGATAATCAAGAAATCGAAAGAAATTAAGGAAATTACACAGCTCCCAATTTTAAACAAATGATCAAATGATCCCCACTATTTGCTAGGGCTAGAAGACTTAATCCCGCAATCCGAGATGGTTCATTTGAAGTTTCGATAGTCGATTGGTTTTTTGTGCCATATTTTTATTTTAACGGCATAGAACACCTACCAAAGAATTTCAATTATTTTCAATCACTTCAGTACTTCTGTTGTCAGAGTAGCTAGAACTAAAAATACCATCGCTGATACACCGTCTTAAACATCAAAACACTCAATCCCTTTTCAAAACACGAAGATTTTTTAGTGACGTCGCTCACCTTTCCAGCATGTTACACTTTTGACCCAAAGACTTGATTATACAAAAATGGATTAATCATAGACGATTACCCCAATTACTGCCCAACAATCATTGACCGTTAAACTCGGTAGCCTGAAGACATTGCTATCGCGGACATGCAAGTAAGCCCGGTATTATCAACACTTATCGGGACGGGAATCTCAAGATATGGAGTCCCGGCTCATATCACGATATACCAAAGTAGACAGGGTCATCAGATCCAATCGTCTATTAAGGACTAGAAATTGCCACGATTAACCATAAGTCATGACACAACCCAGCCTTTATAAAAGCGCAGCAGACCTTATTATCCCCAATCTATTCAGTGAAACAAGAGATAATTGATACTCTCCGCTATTTCAAAAATCAAACTGAGTGTTTAAATTAAAAACAAATTAAAGATTAAGATTTATTTAGATTTAAAGAAAGACCAATTAAAGATTAAGATTTATAGAAACACTAAGTGTAAGAATATAATTGCTTAATTTCGATAGAATTCAATAATAAGTTATTATTTTTAAAACTTATTCCTCTTTGGATATTTTGTAATTAATTTTTTTAACTTAGTTGTAACAGTTTTTTAATTAATTTATGGAGCGGAATTGCCTTTTCTTAAATACAGTAGAATCCTGTTATAACGACTCTTATAGTGTCCGTCCGGGTTATGCGACGAAAACTCGATGGTTTGGTTGGTCCCCATACAAACTTATATGAAAGGGCTTCCGCTTAGTGCGTTTCCGTTTTTAGCGACAAACTGCTTATAGAAACCAAATTTTTCTAAAAAAATTAAAAAATTCAACCGGATATTGCGTTGTGCCGAAAAAAATACAGTGCAATAGTGCCAAATTTAAGCATCAAAACACGCTGTTAGAAATGTATGTATTTATTAGTGATCGGCACCCTTGCGTGTGTGCGTAGCAGCGACGCGAAGGATCTTAAACTGTCTCTGTTAGATTTTGCTGTCTCTTTAACAAGGCTGCTGCGAGAGAAAGAGAGAGTCAAAGTGCAATGCCGACGATGTGCAATAATAAGCTCATTCAGTTTTCAGTATTATGAAAATTTTTAGTTTTAATTAAAATTAATTTGATTTGTTTTAAAAACCTATTACGAGGACGGCAACCATAAATAAACAAACAAAAAAAATTTTTTGTTCCTTTTGCTTTGTGCGTCTTCAGGGTATAACGACAAAAAATCGACTGTCCCTTGAAAGTCCTATGACCTGATTCTACTGTAATTTTTTTTATAATATTGCGGTCGGTTTCTTATCAATAAGAACAGTACCTAGATTCTTGTGGTATGTATTGATAGTAAAGTATTAAGGTATTCGTGAACAAAAATTTTGCAAATATTTCGTTATTAATTAGCTTTGTAATTGCATTACTCGAAATAGGCAAATTCCACTGCAGCTTAATATAGACTGACTCCACTGCATTTGGTCGTTTTCTGTTCGCTTGAATAATTATGTTATTGGGATGCAGAATTGTTCCTTTGAGCTCCAACATATTCTTAGCTGATGTTTTAAGCTAATTTATGAAAAACTTATATGTAATGAAATAAACACGTTAAATAAAATAAAATGTAATATTATCTTCTAGAAAGATAGTCATATATCTTATCCAAAAACATTTTTAAACAAAAGTAGACTTTCCCCTACATTATGAATCAAAATCTTTATATTTGCCTTATATGTTAGAATTCTGTCAAGACTAATCTTGACATTATTAAATGATTTATGCATAACTTAATGAACAAACAAAAATCCTGCAATTAGAAACCGATGGTGCTTTGTGAGAAACAGGTATACATACCAACATTGATGTGGTTTAGCACACATTTAATTTTTTTTGTCGCGTGTGCGTGGCCTTTAAAAATAGATTCTTTTGATTGCAGTAAACACCCTGTGTGCTACCATTCAGTCTTGTAGTTCAAACGGTCCATTCTTAGGCGTTGATTTTCACATAAATATATATCTCTTGTAATTATTTGAATAAAGTTCGATTTAGGTGGCATATTTTATTCATTCGTTTGCATATTAGCTCAGTGTGTATATAAACAATGAACTATATTATTCGGCAATTAGCTAAGAGAGGAAATAAGTAATTTTTCCAAGACGCCATTTTGTCGAATTTTAAATTTACTGATTTTCAAATGGAATTTGGCAAAAAAAGGTAAATGTTTTTAAATAAGGGTTCGATTTTAATAATTCGAAGTGTTTTGGTTTATAAGTAATGAAGAGAAAACTGCTTTAGTTCGCATTGAAAATAAGTTACAGATTAAAAACAAATTTACAAATCTTTATGTTTGTGTATGTACATAGTATATTTATTGCCTACATTTATGTGCTTACATTTTTTTCATGCAGCTCATTATTTTATTAGTCAGTTAATCATTAAAGTTATAGTTTGTATTTAACGTATAAACAAATGTATGTATCAATATTTATGGCCTAAACTTTGAGCTGACTCTAATCATAAACTTTTTTCAGGTATAAGGGTGGTCGGACACCTATTAGGTCCAGTGAACGGCGACGTCCTCAAAGTGTTTCATCAACATCGACTCTATCACCGAGAGTTGTGTTGTCGAGATTGGAACCCAGAGAGTTTGAACGTCTACGATTATCCTACAAAGTTGCAATTGACCAAAGAAGATCTAGAAGCTGCCGTGGTATGAACATGGGTCAAAAAATTAGTGGTGGAGTCAAAACAGTCAGTCGTAATGATTCACAGTCAACCTTTAAACCAATTATACCAAGAGAGTTACAAGCTGATTTTGTCAAACCAGCGCGCATCGATATTTTGCTTGATATGCCTCCGGCGACTAGAGATTTACAGCTCAAGCATTCGTGGAATTCAGAAGATAGGTCGCTTAACATTTTTGTAAAAGAAGACGACAAGTTAACATTTCATAGGCATCCAGTCGCTCAAAGTACTGATTGTATTCGCGGAAAAATCGGGCTTACCAAAGGATTGCATATTTGGGAAATCTATTGGCCAACACGTCAAAGAGGGACACATGCTGTGGTTGGCGTATCTACTTCTGATGCGCCTTTACACTCAGTTGGATATCAAAGCTTGGTTGGATCGACTGATCAAAGTTGGGGCTGGGACTTAGGAAGAAATAAATTGTACCACGACTCAAAAAACTGTGCTGGGGCCACGTACCCAGCCATATTGAAAAACGACGAAGCTTTTTTAGTTCCAGACAAGTTCTTAGTAGCCTTAGATATGGACGAAGGAACATTAAGCTTTATTGTTGATCAGCAGTATCTTGGAATTGCATTTAAAGGCCTGAGAGGAAAAAAATTATATCCAGTCGTTTCGGCAGTGTGGGGTCACTGTGAAATAACAATGCGCTACATTGGTGGATTAGATCGTAAGTACATTTATTACTAATTTTAATATTATATATCTATATTTTTGATCAGCATCACGATCTGAATCGAAATACGTCTGCACCTCTCCGGGTGTCTGTTTCTATGTAAACTAGTCTCTCAGTTTTGAAGCAATCTTCCTGAAACTTTACCAAAAGTTGCGTAGTTATTGCACGCAGTATATACAGTGGCGAGCAAAAGTGAGTGCATGTTCGCAAAACTGACTTTCGTCGTCAATAAAAACGGAACGGTACGAGATAATTTAACAAACTAAATTTTTTTATGTTTACTATTTTATTTATAACAAATGTGAAAAAGAATCAATATCATATAAGGTAAATTCTAAAAGTTAGAAAGAAAAAACCAAAAAAACACGCATAAACTCACTTTTGCACGTTTAACCCAAATTATTTAAATATATCCATTTTAATATTTGGTCCGCAAACCCTTATTAGCCATAATTTTATTAATGCATTTTGGCATTCCCTCTACCAAATTTTTTATAACATCTTCAGGGATTTGTTCCAATTCCGATGTTACACGTTCCCAAAGGTTGGCCATGTTTCTTGGGGCTGTTTCTTACTGCCGGAGCCGTTTTTTCAAAATTGATCAAAGATTTTCAATCGGATTGAGGTCTGGACGTTGTGCTGGCCTCTCCATTAGCTGAAAATGTTGTTTGCCAAACCATTTTTTGACAATTTTCGGTGTGTTTCTCGGACTGCAGCTCAAAAAAGGCGAAATATGACTCCCAAACCGCTAGTCAAAGGTAGAAAAAAAATTATTGACAGACTCAGATGCTCGACTTATGATGTCCAAAATGTGAAAAGTCAAGCTGCTCATACCAAAGGGTGCTTCTATGGCCATTAATAAAAATGTTAGCCAGTGGACGGCCAGGAGAGCACTGCATAACATTGGTTATGTGTCAATCGTTAAACCTGCATTATCTGCATAGAACGTTAAAGCATAATTTGATATGCTAAAGACGACAAAAACTGGACTACTGATGATTGGAAACATGTTATCTGGTCTAATGAATCCAAGTTTAACCGTTTTCAATCAGATGGAAAGAAATACTGCTGGTGCAAGCCCGGTGAACGTCTTCAAAGGCACCATGTAAAGCAAACTGTAAAACATGGCGGCGGAAACAAAATGGTTTGGGGATGCTTCACATGGTGGCATGTTGGCCCTCTGCATTTGGTAGAAGGTAAAATGCGAAAAGAGGACTACCTAAAATTTTAAAAAATCAATCTTCCCAATTTTATGGAAAAATATGCTTATCCTGAAGACTAAATTGTTTTTCACCAAGAAGGGTGATCCAAAGCAAACAGCGAAAATTGTCAAAAAATGGTTTGGCAAACAACATTTTCAGCTAATGGAGTGGCCAGCACAACGTCCCGACCTCAATCCGATTGAAAATCTTTGATCAATTTTGAAAAAACGGCCCCGGCAGTAAGAAGCAGCCCCAACAAACATGGCCAACCTTTGGGAACGTGTAACATCGGAATTGGATCAAATCCCTGAAGATGTTATAAAAAATTTGGTAGAGGGAATGCCAAAATGCATTAATAAAATTATGGCTAATAAGGGTTTGCGGACCAAATATTAAAATGGATATATTTAAATAATTTGGTTCAAACGTGCAAAAGTGAGTTTATGCGTGTTTTTTTGGTTTTTTCTTTCTAACTTTTAGAATTTACCTTATATGATATTGATTCTTTTTCACATTTGTTATAAATAAAATAGTAAACATAAAAAAATTTACTTTGTTAAATTATCTCGTACCGTTCCGTTTTTATTGACGACGAAAGTCAGTTTTGCGAACATGCACTCACTTTTGCTCGCCACTGTAGGTCGGAACGGGCCAAGAGATTTAAAAAAAAAAACTACGAGCTTGTTTTTGGTTATATCGACTAGATCGTGTTTTTTAACTACTATCGAATTTCGAATTAAATTCTATCAAAATCGTATAACTGTATCGTATAGCTGCCACAGGATAGATCGAAAAATATATATATAAGTAATGGAAAAAAAAATGATAGCGTCGTTGTTTTTTATCCCACGAGCATGTTTTTAGGACATTAAATTTTTAAACTACCCTTGAATCGAGAAAAAAATGTGTATAAAAATCGGACAGGAATATCATAAGGCTCGAAAAATCTATATAGAATTAACGAAAATAAAATTATAACGGCGTTGTCTTTATTCAGAAAAGCACGCTTTTTGGAATATAGAGTTTTAACGAATCTTAAATTTCGAATTTAATTTCATAAAAATTGGATGACTATATCATATAGCTGTCATATGGACAACCCTCGAATAAATAGAAAATCGTCATTTTCGTTATTTTGATCGATGTATTTCATGACTGCAAGGGTGTATTACCTTCGGCTAGTCGAAGCTTGCCCTTCCTTTCTAGTTTTTAAATAAAAATAAAAAAAGAAAGAATGTCTACATTTTCATAATAAAACTTTTAATAAGTAAAAAGGTCTTAAAGGTTTTACAATTTTTATTTTTACATTTTTTTTTTAATTTTTTTTCTGTTTAAAAAAAAAAAAACAAAAAAAATGCTTTTATAGCTAACTGAACTGAAAACTTCTGAAATAATTTGAATAAGAAAGAAATTATATTACAGTAGCAGCAGAAGATCGAACAATCAATCATAATTTTGTATCTTAACACCTTCTCGCCGACATACCGCCACTGAGGGACGCCACCTCCCGCCCCTTTTTTGTTTTTTCAATTTCAAATTTTGTTCTTCTCAAAATAATTGTATTTTCACAGAAAAAAATTTTAGCTTTGTATCTTTAACAGTTTTCTCAAAAATTAAAAAAAAAAAAGTGTAATTTTTCGGGTTCACAAGGTGAGAACCTGCCAGAACCTATATCCAGTTGAAATTTTGAAAAAATCAAAATTTTTCTTTGCCGATTTTGAATATATATGTATCAGAGAACTGCAAAAATCACTATTTTCTTGATTTAATCATACGCGAACTTTTTCAATCAACTCAACTCAATAAAAAACATTGATGAGTGAAAATCAACTCATTTTGCTGTACGCATCATTCCAATCAAAAAAGTGAGCATGTTTGACGAAAGCTTCATTCGGATCAATTCGAGTTGATCGTGTATGAGTAAACGATTAGCGACAAGATGACACAAAGTGAGCATTACGAATGCAATGCATGTATAGTAACAATTTCTATGCGAGCTTCTTGAAGCTTGTTGTTGCTTGTTTTTTTTGTCTTCCTCCTTTTTAGTCAAATTCTTCGTTTCGCTATGACTCATATTTCATTTTTGTAATTCATAATTAGTTGCATTTTTTTATTTGATTGATATGGAGGGTATCATTGAAAAAGTTCACCTTCTTCTTCGCACATTTCATCTGTGGAAAAAGTTCCGTTTGCTGCACGCATGAGTAAAATCATACGAGTTGATTTTTGTGAGTTGAGTACTATTCTTGTTCAAGAAAATGATTGTTGAACCGAATGATGCTGAACACGAGCCGAACAATTTGGAGTGAAACAAAAAATCGCTCGCACCCGAGTTGATTTAAAATTTACAACGAAAATGTGAGCGCATGCAAGTTTGATCGGCTGATCCGAACAGTGTGATTATTCGGCTGTTGAACGCGTACGTATTTAGGAATATTGTCTGAAAATTTCAAAGTAATCCGGTAAATTGTTTCGGAGTAATAAGCGTATTTGTGAAGACGTCTCCGACGTAGTTCAAATAGTAGCCAAAACTTTAAACGCGTTTTTCTCGAAACTATGTTTTTAAAGTCGGTGAGGAAAATGTCTCCGACACGGCTTGACTGATTGACTTCAAATTTTCACAGTCTCTTCTTAGATATTTTTTTCAGTATGACACGGGGAATTTTGGGTCCGACAAAAATTGTGATTTTTTTAGTCACTTTAAAGTGTACATTTTCGTGCCAAAAACTAAGTTTTACGTTTGGGAAGCCGCCATTTTATCCTTTCGGTTTTTTGAATTTCTGATAATTTGGATCAGAGATATCTTCCTCACCGCAAAACACCTTTTTGAAATGGACCTTTAGGAGATCCTCGACAGGATCGATTCTTAAACTACGTAAAATTATCTAACTTTTCAAGCAAGCCGAAGCTTATATACCATTGCAGTCATCAAATATTAGGTTGTTTGGTAATGACATACCGGTTTTTACACTCAAATTTCGCGCTTCGCTTGTGAAGTCAAATATCATCGTACCTGGCCATGCTGTATATCGTTTATTGTTTACACGAGCTTCCACGTTAAAAAACTACAATCGATTGAAATGGAGTTCACAAACGCAGAAATTCGGGCAATTTTGAAATTTTATTTCGCACAGGGAAGCTGCGGAATCTCGCAGACAGATTATTGCTGTCTTAGGAGATAACAAACTTTCGATTTAAACTGCTGAACAGTAGTTTAGGTGATTCCGAAGTGTCAATTTTGATACCGAAACACCCAAGCCTTCCGGACGACCAGTGAACGTTGATCCGGAATAAATCATGGAAATAGTGGATCGAGATCGTTATGTGACGTAAGCATGGAAACCGTCCATAGGCATTTAAAGTCGAAAAATTTAACAAAAAAGCCTTTTCGACCATGTACAGTCGAATCCCGATAATTCGTACCGCGCTAAATCGAAAATCGTGATAATTCGTAAAAAATTCGGTTCCCTTGAAAAAATCTCGATAAATCGAATTCCCGTCTAATTCGTAAAAAAAAAAAGTGATCCCCTTGCCATTTCGAGTTATCGGGACTCGACTGTATTAATCTGCGAATCTTTGTTGCACCGTAATAAACTCGACTCATTTCTGGATCGAAGCACGGTGAGTCGTCTCAAACGGTGGCAAAGCCAGGACTGACGGCTCAGAAGGTGTTGCTGAGTGTATGGTGGGATATCAGAGGAATTATCTATTATGAAGTGTTGCCCTATGGCCAAACCATCAATTCTGACCTCTACTGTGAACAACTGGAGCGATTGAAGATTGCACTTGAACAGAAGCGGCCAGCCATGGTGAATCGTAAGGGCGTTGCGTTCCATCATGACAACGCCAGGCCCCATACATATTTGGTGGCGCGTCACAAGCTACGGGAGCTTGGTTGGGAAGTGTTAATGCATCCACCTTATAGTCCGGACATTGCCCCAAGCGATTACTAACAAAAAATTGAGTTCAAGGGAGGATTTTGAAAATCGAATCGCCGAGTTTTTTGCCAGTAGGGACAAGGACTTCTTTAGGAGAGGGATATACAAGTTACCATCAAAATGGCAGAAAATCATCGAAGACAACGGTACATATAGCACTTAAATCGAACAATGCTAACTATGTTAAAATCGTCCTCAAAAATCAATAAAGAAACCGGTATGTCATTATCAAACAACCTAATACTTATGTCAACCAAAATACATAAAGGCTAAACAACATCGAAGCTATGACGATTTTTCTATTCATTTTCCATATTTTCGACTATTCTTCATATGACAGCTATATGATATTATCGTCCTTTTTTGATGAAATTTAATTCGTTATTCAAGAGTCGTTAGAAAGCTCTGTTTAAAAATCATGCTTGTCTGATGAAAAACAACGATGTTATAATTTTAGTTCCGTTATTTTTATATAGATTTTTAGATCTTTCCTATGTTAGCTATATGATAACGTTACCGGATTTTAATGAAATTTTTTTTCTCGATTTAAGGATTATTAAAAAAAACTCCATATTTTGAAAATCATGCTCGTTAAATCGAAGTAAAGGGACCCCTCTGACCACATAAAGTATATATATTCTTGATCAGGATCACCATCTGATTAGATCTAAACGTGTACGTCTGTCCATTGTCTGTTTCTATGTAAGGTAGCCTCTCAGTTTTTAAAGCTATAGAGATGTGTAGTTATTGCATATAAGCTTTAGCAGACGAAGCTAGCTTCCTTTCTTGATATATATTTAACAAACCAGCTTTATAAAAACAATAGCCCCTCTACGAAAAACAGACCAGCGCTTTAAAATAGTACCTAACATCTATACACGAGTGTCATCTCGTTTTTACCGCAAGTGATACATACGGAGCTTTTTGTCCGTAAACCCTTAAATTTGGCATTTTGAGTGCAAAACTGCCTGTAATACCGATTACGCACGGGCTGCGGTTTGGTAATTTTTCTTGCGCATGCATCCCTAAAAAACAGCTGAAATCAGCGATTTACCGCACGGACGATAGGCACGAAAAATGCCAATTTTAGGGGTTCTAGGACAAAAAAGAAATTATATATTCGTCAAATGTATATGCGGTATTTAAAAAAAAATGAGAAACGTAAGAACCCACTTTACTTTTCCAGAAAAAAAAAATTCGCACTTTGTAATAAAAATCCTAATTTTGTTGACATATAATTACGATGGTAAATAGTTTCTTTGAAAAAAAAAAACGAAATGTAACTTCGGTAAAGCTTGACGGATTATAGATCTGCAATGTTCACTTTAATTTTATAAAATAAATAAATATTTACTCAAGTTTTTTTGTATCTTTTAAGCTGAACCCTTGCCTCTAATGGATTTATGTCGAAGAACTATTCGGCAAAAAATCGGCCGCGCGAATTTGGAGGAGCGTATTCAACAACTTCAACTTCCTTTATCTATGAAAACATACTTATTGTACAAAAACCGTAGATAATAGTTTTAATAAGTAAAATATGAACCAATTTTGAATTTTGCTGTATGTGATGAAAACAGTAAAAACTAATTGTGTTAGCTGGTAATAGTATTAGATCAATGTTAGTTTGTCAGTCTTCTAACAGGAAAAGTATAGGTATATTAATCTTAAAAATACTTTTATTTAGATAAAAACAAAACTATTGTAAATTTAAGATGCATGAAAATAATATTATGTATAAACTATGACTTATCAATTCGTAATAATTGGAGAATGTAACGTTATTTATGCTCAATTCGTGGTATATTAAAAAATGTTTGTAAAAAGAATAAAACATAATCTGCAGTTTTTAGTTTATTATGTTTATGAATATTTGAGCTTTAAATTAGAAAAGATCATATAAAGTTAAAATTACTTTTAATTTTTAAAATAAAAAAAGTTCTTATTTCAGGAATTATAAAGTTTTTACTCATTTTCATTCCCAGAAAACCAAAACATTGACTAATGACGTAGTTTGCAACACAAGTTGTCTGCTAAATGGTTCACGAAAATTAAAAACAATTCTTTTAAAAAACTATAAATAATGGCTTTAAAAATCCAAATTCGAATATTTGATTTTTTTTTAAACAGAGTTTGTATAATAGTGAAGTTAGTTTTTAAATAATGTACTTATGCATTTTACTTTGTTTTGTAAGGATATTATAAAAATTGAAGACATTTAATAAAAAGCCCTAAGCCAACTGAAGCATTAAATTGATTTTACTTTTGTAAGGAAATATCATTCTAAAAGTTAAAAAAATAGTATTACTTTATTCTTGCCATTCCCGCCTCGTCCCAACAAATCCCTGCTCTACAGCGTCCATACACAGTCATACAAAATTTACTCAGCATTAGATATATAGCATAAAATTTAATGATTGTCCCTGGAGGGACAGATTTTAAATAAACTCTGGAGAGAAAAAAAAAATTAGATATATAGTACATCTGTAGGAAAATTAATATTTAGGAAAATGAGTTTTAATATTTTCACTTTCTTGCCATGCTTTTCCTTTTGCGGGTTCTAATATTTGTGTAAATTATAAGGAATGTGGATTCTGTTCTTCGAGATTATAGTTATGTTGATTAGAGGTGTTTTAGGGATTTCTGGGCTTCTCTACAGGATACATACTAGGTGTGTTCAAAAAGTATACCGAATTTTGAATTTTCGAGGGTTACCTCGTATCGAATTTCGATTTTTTTTTGTGGCGTTATGTTGGTACTCATGTCTTTCACTTATGCCGACAAGCTCGGCCATTTTGAATGTACACTTAATTGTTGACATATTCAAAAAAATGGATCAAAGAACCTGTATCAAATTTTGTGTGAAAAACGAAATTAAGTGCGTGCGTGCATTCCGAATGTTGACTGTGGCATACGGAGAAGCTACCTTGGACCGAAGCACCGTTTATCGGTGGTACAAAATGTTCTTAGAAGGCCGAGAAGATGTGAACGACGAAGAGTGTGCCGTACGCCCGAGCACTTCAACAACAGACGAAAAAATTAATTAAGTGGAGAAAATGGTATTGGCCAATCGTCGAATCACCGTTAGAGAAGTTGCTGAGGACCTAAACATATCGATTGGCTCGTGCCATTCGATTTTTATCAATGATTTGGGCATGAGGCGGATCGCCGTGAAATTCGTACCAAAATTACTCAATTGCTAATGAGATGTTAAACTCTGTCCGCGACGACCCAATTTTGCTCCAGAGGGTCATAACTGATACGACGTGGAAACCAAAGCTCAATCATCTCAATGAAAACTGCCGCACGAACCAAGACCGAAAAAAGCGCGCCAAGTTCGGTCGAGTGTGAAAGTTTTGCTGACAGTTTTCTTCGATTGCAGGGGCGCACAGTGGGCGATTTGGTCTCGCTAGCGGCATTTAATTAATAACTTCTAAACTAAAATAGATGTCTTCAGTCGGTTTTTTTCACTGATCAGAGAAAAATCATAGAATTTTTTAGATAAAAAATATTTTTTTTTTAATTTTCTTTTATTTTTTTTTATTTAAAAAAAAAAAAATTTTTTTTTTATTTATTTATTTAAAAAAAAAAATTTTTTTTCGCATAAAAAAAAAAATTTTTTTTTATGTAAAATTTTGTTTTACTTTTATTTTTTAAACTTTAATTAACATATTTCATAAATAAACTTTATCTAAAAAAGGCTAGAATTTTATTTGGAATTACCGAAATCAGACGCAGGCATAGTAAAAATACTAAAATATACTAAAAAAGATCCCTTTTTGCTACTGACATTGTGCCTTAAAAGTACTATAGTTTGAAGGCTAGCAGGTACTAGCAGTTCATATTACACACATTGGACGCCACTGATTCACACTGTGGGCTAATAAAAGAGTTAGACTGAATCCACTTGAATTAGGTAAGTTCTACTCCACGAAAGACAGGTGTACGCTAATCCGGGCTCGTTGTTAATACACTGAATTACCACTACGTTTTTTGAGCTACACATTTATAGACCGGTCACAAACATTATTTTTTTTTGTAATACATACCTTGAAATTCATAAAAAACCAAACTTTTAATAAATTCACTAAAAATTGTAAATTCCAAGGAACTTGAATTCGATGCGCGCAAACAGGTAAAATTTTTAAAGCTCTTTGCAAAATCATACGCTGTGTTTGTCCGTTCACAGCTGATGATCAGCTGATAGTAGAGCTTTTAAAATGCTTGAATAAATCTAATCAAAGTATCTACAGGGTGGGCCATTTAAAGTTGACCCACTTGATTCTTAAAACAAAAACAAAAAAAGTGGACAATTTTTTTTTAATTCCAAAAATCATTTATTTTGGTCCAAGGAGATTTTTTTACAAAATATTATTAAAAATGATATCACGTAAATGGGCACCTTTAGCTCTGACAGCAGTGGTGTCATTTTTTTCTGAGCAAAAAAAGCTGGATCAACGAAAAAAAAAGCTAAAAAAAGCGGAATACCAGAGAAAAAAAGTTAAGAAAAAAGCTGATTTTTATAAAGCAATGTGCTGTATGTTTTTCATTAATAATTATAATATACATGAAAGTACGAAAACTATGAATTAAAGTACGTTTAAGATTTCGTCAATATCATCGGTAATCGGTAATCGGATAAAAACTCTGCTGAGCAACAAATATGCAAAGCGCTACCTCCTGCTCAGTGTTGGCTTTTTAGCAAAATGTATTTTATTTTTTTGCACAAATCCCTCCATAGCAATGCTGTGCTTTTTGTAGCAGCATGTGCACGTAAGTCGCTAAATTTTGCAGTTATGCTGCACTTACAATAGCTGCAAAACATTCGCGTAAGGTTTGTAGGATCCTTCCTCATCCACTCTTTAAACTCCGTGCTCTGTAGCCAGACATCTCTGACTTTTTGCTTGTAGGCTTACTTTGGTATCGTCAATATCTTTCAGCGCACGAGAATTTCACAAAGTTAGTAATGGAAGACGCTTCAATTTAGGTGCGATCTTTTGATGAAACTTTCTCGATACAAGTAAATATCCATTTTTTTGTCGATAGAAATACATTTTTAAAATTTAAGCCGTTAAATTCAATTTAAACAACTCTAAAATTTGAGTAAAAGTAAACTAAAAAAAAGCTGTTTATATTTGCTTAAAAAGCCAGAATTCCCGCTGCCCGCTGTTTTCATATTTTTCCCGCAATCGCACTTCAAAAAAATCCAAATCTGACGGGAAAAAAGCGGAAATGACACCGCTGTCTGACAGCCGAATGCATTCTTTTTTCAGCATTTTCCATGACTTTGGTCAATGTTTCAGACGATATGGCGGCTATTTCACGTCTAATGTTGTCTTTTAGTTGACTTAAGGTTTTTGGTTTATTAGCGTATACCTTGGATTTCAAATAACCCCACAAATAAAAGTCTGGTGCCGTCAAATCTGGTGATGTTGAGGGCCAGTCAAAATCACCACTTTTCGATATCAACCGCCCAGGGAACAATGTTCGCAATAAATCGATTGTTGCTCTAGCTGTATGGCAAGTTGCCCCGTCCTGTTGAAACGAGAAGTTATCCATGACATTTTCACGAATAATAGGCATCAGGAATTCCTGAGATCGTCGATAAGTCGATGTCGTAGGAGTCTCATCAATACTGGCTCGTACAGCTTCGATATTTTCATTAGAACGTCTTGTTCGTTGCCTGGATACATGACTGGCATTACTTAGATTACCGGTGTTTACAAATTTTGCGTACAAAGACTTAATTGTGTTTTTAACTGGAGCACTTTTAACTTTATTCGTTTTATGAAACGCACGTTGGGTTAACACAATTGAAAATTTATTTTCAATGTAGAGCTGAACAATTTGAGCGCGTTCCTTTGGAGTGTATTGTTCCATGGTATCAATTGTCTTCGACTGACGCTTCCAACGTGGTATGACGATCTGTCGACGCTGTCAAAAGTTACAGGGTTGCCAAATGGGTCAAATTTAAATGGCCCACCCTGTATTATCGAATTGTGAAAAAAAATCATAGCTTTTTGAAAGTTGAAATTTGAATTAAATGCCGCTAGCGAGGCCAAATCGCCCACTGTGGGGCGTGGTGCATCATGAGCTCTTGCCACAGGGAAGAACGGTCAATAAGGAATATGACCTGCAAGTTATGCGCAATTTGCGCAAAGCAATCCGCCAGAAACGCCCGGATTTGTGGAAGAACAAAAATTGGCTTTTGCACCACGATAACGCCCCTGGCCACACATCGTTGATTGTGCGCGACTTTTTGGCCAAAAACAACACACTAATGATGCCGCAGCCACCGTATTCCCCAGATCTGGCCCCCTGTGACTTTTTCTTGTTTCCTAAACTGAAGAGGCCCATGATAGGACGACGTTACGCTACGCTTGACGAGATAAAGACGTCATCGAAGGAGGAACTGAACAAGATAAAAAAATGATTTTTTGAACTGCTTAGAAGATTGGAAAAACCGTTGGCACAAGTGCATAATATCTCATGGGTATTACTCTGAAGGTGACAAAATAGATATTCATGAATAAATAAATAATTTTTGAAAAAACACAAAATTCGCGATACCTTTTGAACAGACCTCGTATTTGGTTTGAAGGGTGTCGAGAAGGGAGCTCAGCGATTATATGAATTCACATCTTCGAGCCCTGGCCAATACGGAATAAATTTCAGTGGATTCCTAATTCACATCGTCGCCCACAAACTGAATCAGAGGACGCTTGAAAAATGGGAGGAGGATTTGGCTATTGCACCTGGACAAGAGGTACAGGATGATGGAAAACCTGGATCAAGCCTTGATAACTCAAACTCCAGGCCAGCAGGTGGGATAGACATTATTCAAAAGCACCT